TAATTAAATAGTTTTGTCTTTAATATTTTTCTGTATCTTTAGAAATCAGGGAGTCCAATTAAAATAGCTAACAATATTATTTGTTTCAAACAAAATACCAGAAGTCTACTTCACACCTGCCAACATCTGCTGACAGCAGTGAGCAACACATGTTCATGTTAATGAGCAGCTGTGGAGTGAAGCAGTTCTGGGGGGAGGGGGGGTGGAAGGGTGAAGGGTCCAGGGGTATGCTTTTCCTAGTCATTGCAAAAGAGATCTGTGATCTCAATAGGATTTTCCTGGTTCAGTCTAGGCCAATAAATACATACATAAACCTGAGTAACCAGTGATTATTCTACAAACTGAATCAATGACACTCTGATAAGAATTTACTAAAAATATTTTTTCATCCCCCATTTGTGGCACCCCCTAGATGGATGATGCCCTGAGCATTTGCCTATTCTACCTATGCCACAAGCTGGCCCTGCCTATTATTGTTTATTATCATCTTGTTAGAGACTCTCAGATGTTATAGCTGATCAGTTTTATGTTTGCTGTATGAAATGTTCTAGAGCATGTGCTAATTAACTACACAACATTTAAAAAAATTCCCTCCACTGAAAGTGATGAATACCTCATAGGTTGATGGAATAATCATTTCATGATAGTGTTCATGATGATGTTGTAATTTAGTTTTTGCAATCAAATATCCCACCATATAACATAGTCACATATTACAACGCCATGTTCAGTATATTGAATTTTATTCATATGCTACAGTGTCCCTTCAGGCCTTTTCTTCTCTTCAGTTCTATTTGCATGTCTAAACCAGCAGAGTCATTAAAAGGCACCCAACCACAGCGACACAGCCTGAGTGCTGAGTGCCTTCCTGAAGCTGCTGAAGCATCGTCAGCCCTGGGAGACAGAGAATCAGAGAGCCTCTGCATGTCCCCTATGGGAAGAGGAAAGAGCTCTTATTCTAACTTGGTGGAAAATGCCWGCACACACTGGGGCACCGTTACACACAGCTGGGATAATAAGTATCAAAGGGAGACCCACAAGCCACCAGCAAACTGAAACCAGCATATGCATTTCTTCCCTATTCACCATTGCCACCAAGCTGACTTTTCTGAAAAAGYCAATGCATCTCTCTCCCCTTGCTATAGCAGGGCTATTTAAATGTCTGAATCAGTGTGGCATGTAATATAGGATGTGGTTTATAGGACCACAGGGTAAAGTGGATCTTATGAAACAGTGTGGGGCGATGAGCAGCCCTTTCTGAACTGCAGGCTTAAACTAAAACGCTTATATTTCACACTTTATAGTGGTAAAAGAAACTAGCAGTTTAAAATAAAAAAACAAAACTTATTAATCTGCACATTTTTCATGCATTTAAATTTTAACATTCAGCTCCTGCTTCYTAAATCATCTGCCCTATTTATTTTCAACGTTATTGTTATGTATAATTGTGAGGTGCACGTGTGCTGGGAGGGAGTTGGATGAAGACGATTTATGTGCTAATATAATCACAATAATAAGATCACTGCAGTACTTTACAACTTAAGCTCTGCGTGACACTTTTTAAGCTAAAGCGTGGATCAGACAGAGAGACGTGGATTCACATTCTTATGCCGTCAAGTCAGCAGGGGATTGCAGGAGCTCAAACCATGGATTATATTTATAACAGGGAAGCCCTGCCACTGGTGTTAATTTCAAGTCACAAACAGAATACTCGGTGAGTTAAAGTCATGCTGCCATTCTCAAATGTCATTTTTTAAAACTAGAAACATAACCACAAAGYTTTCGCACTGTCATGCATAACCATTCTTGTTTTTCATGCAGGAAGAATAATGAGGATGCTTCACTTGCACAAAAGTCTTGATTCACTCATAGTTCCCTTATGTGCTGTTTGCTTTATTTATTTTTTTGTTTTGTTTTGTTTTTTGCTTGCTTTTGCTCTGCTTTCTGYCTTCCCTCTATTCAGTTTACTAAGTTAGCTTGAATGGCTGCACCAACTATAAAGCCCAGGACCTGCTAGCGGGCTATAAATGTAACCCCTAATGGCTAAACCATTATAGCATTTGGTACAGACTCTGAAGTGTAGTGAATGTGTTGCTGCAGGAAAACAGAGGTAGTGGAAGGCAGGAGGTGGGGGATGCAGGAGGGGGATAAAAGCTCCCCCCTTTCCATTAGCTGATTGACTTGGAACCCAGTTTCTTTTGCTGGCACTTGTTTGCCTCACATTAAAATGGGACAGAGATGTAAACAACTTTGTTATAGAGCTCAAGAAAACCTTACAGGAAAGCAGTGTCACTCCAACGAGGCTCCCTCCTCACCCGGCAGCAGGAGACACAGATAGTGTGCTGGTAGAAGTAGTTGCCTTAGTACATTTTTCAGTWTCGCTGATGTTTTTTTATTAGCCACTCCGTGTTCTGCGCGAGCCGGAGTGAAGGCCTAATGGAGCATAGCGTGCTGAAGTGGCTGGCCGGCTGTCTCAGACAACACATCTCACATTAGGATCCAACATTTACTCAAGTGCGATGTCAGATTTAATAAATGATATATATACTTGTTATGGCTCTATTGCAAAGGGGTGGTGAGAGGAGAAAGAGGAGGGTGACAGGCTTCACAAACCATAAGTGTTCTTTTCCTTTGGAACAAAGTCAAGATGTCGCTGCGTAGAAAATGGGAAAAGGGAAGCGGGAATGAGSTTTATTGTGCATAGTTAAGCATACTATGTACAAACCTGATAGGACATGTTTTATTCAGAACAGCAATGCCTTTGTTGAATGACATTTAGGGGAATAACATGTATTTTGAAACTGAGTTTAATTATCTTGTATTAGTCACTTTATAATCTGATGTGAAACACATCTGTCTGCAAACAAGTTGTGATTCAGAAAAAAGGTCCAAATTATAAAAAAAGTGGTGCATGGCCAGTGTGAGTATGAAGACAACAAACAAGAACATCAAAAAGAAAAAAAATAAGTAGGTCCTCTGGATGGGTTCTTCTTTAGTGAAACGTTTCATCTCTCCTCCAAGAAACTTCTTCAGTCTGATGAGTTTCAGGTGAACTCAGCCTTATAAGCACTGCCTCCACATGGTGGACAAACAGGTTAGTCACATGCAAAAGAGGAATAATCAAGCCTATTGTTAGGCGTTGGCCCTCTTTTGCACATGACTAACCTGTTTGTCCATGTGGAGGCAGTGCTTATAAGGCTGAGTTCACCTGAAACTCATCAGACTGAAGAAGTTTCTT